CAGTAGTATCTGAACTTTAGCTGGAATTTTAAAGGTGCAAAATGCCGCCTCCATCCGGCGGGTTGGAGCGTTTTCCGGCCACCTCTGGCAAAATTGACGTCGCTCATACCCTCCAATGTGTTCGTGGCATCTCGGCGACCCCCTAGGACCCCCCAATTACAAGATTTAATGGCGATTTGCAAAAACCCCCATTTTCGGATTTTAGGGTTTTTTCGAATGGAAAAATTCAAATTCGAGGAGTTGCGGGCCAAATTGGACAAAATGATTTGGATGTTCTTGATCCTCATCTCAAGACGAAGAGAACAGCGTTGGTCCCGCCGGAATCTAACAAGGTTGATTTTCCGGCGAGTTTGACGTGGTGCGACGACGGCGGGAAGCGGAAGAAAAGAAAAAAAGAAATGGGGTCAGATTGAAAATTTTAAAATATATAAAATTCTAATTTGGCCCAAATGACTGGAACTTAACCTAGAAACGGGCAAATTGACTTTTAGTGAAAGAATTGTGTAAGTTGAGGGATTTTTCTGAAAAGATTTCCAGCTAAAGTTCAGATTCCACTGGTGAAATTTACCCGTGATTAACATCATGCCAAAGGCTTTTTTTAGTGATATTGAAAGAAAAAAGAAAATAAGGAGTGTCTTTGTTTAACAAAAATATACTCCTTCCGTCCGGAAATAATCTTTCTATATTTTCTTTTTCTCCGTCCGAAAATAATCTTCTCTTTTTCTTCTTCGTTCTTCTTTTCTTCTCTCCACAATTGTTCCTACAAATCCATTCATTCATTCTTCTTCTTCTTCTTCCTCTTCCTCTTCCGTGTTCTTTCTCACCCCTGTTTTTTCCTGATCTATTTCTTCTTCTTCTTCTTCTTCTTCTTCTTCTTCTTCTTCTTCTCCTTCTCCCCAATTTTTTCTCATCCCACTTTTTTTTCTCCAAATCAACTCATCTTCTTTTTTCCTCTTCTTATTCCCCTAATATGTAAGGCCTGAGAAGATCTAGGGGCTGAGGTGGTGGTGGGGGCTGTGGTGATTGTGGGGGGGGGGGAGTCGACGGTGGTTTTTGATCTACGGTAGTAGTGGGATCGACGGAAATGGTGGGAGCAAAGGGGCAGGGGTAATGGGTGGGGACAATTTGGGGGAAGGGTATTTTGGACTTTTCAATTCTAAAGTCAACCCTTCATAAAATGGGAAAAAGTCAAAATGGGAAGTTTAATTCCGAACGGACGGAGTAATACATGAATGACATATTTGAATATTTTAAAGAGGTTAATGACATTTGTGAAAAAATAAAAGATAAAGTCATTTTTGACAAAAATAAATAGTAAAAGTGAGATTCTTGTCATTGTACTATACTAATTAGTTTAATAATTGACCAAACTCAATCACACTAAACATAAAAGTATAGATGAGAGGAAAATTTATCTAAATATGACTAGAATATAATGACTTTCTCAATATATGATCAAATGTTTTTATTTTCCAATTTGGGTCATTGGTTATTATACTAACCATTAGACATTATTCAAATAAATGTCCACCATGAGTAGACATTATTCCTCCTACTATACATTATTAAGTACTATTTAGAGAATAAAAAAGTTCAAGTCCTACATTGGGAAATGACTTATATTTTAGTCCTATTTAGTTTAAATTTCACTAGATTACAATGCATGCATATATTCCTATAAAAAAGAAAATTATGTATTTTTGCAAACAACAAAGATGAAATCTTTTATATTTTAAGCAGATAATATAAAGGAAAACTTCATAGATATGAGTAAAAAACTATGACAATATATATCAAAATAAAAGTTATAATAAGTCTTTTAAGACCAAAATAAAAGTTTACAATATCATAGTTACGCTGTTACACTCACCACATTGTCACATTGAAATTGCCCCATTATCACCACCACACTGTCATCCATCGTCGCCAGCTACTAGAGTGTTGTCGTGGATCGCTGACGATTGACTGATCGCACTTATGTACTCCGTATTATATTATCATTACTTTTTCATCACACTGACAACGGATACCCTTACACGACACCGTTATTATAATCCCATTTTAGTCTTAAAAGACTTGTGACTCCAATTTTTGTATTTTCATAGCTTTTTTATTCCTATCCAGGTAGATTTCTTATGCTATAATACTACAATATAGTCAATAGTAGATTTTTTTTACCAATTATATTAGTGCTTGTTATGTGTTTGTTGGTGTTTGTCTGTTACAAAATCGATTCAATCAAAAGCTTATGTTGTAGTTGTTGCTTAAAATTGTTTTTTATATTCTAACATGCTCTTCACGTGCAGGTATAGTCTTTTGGAGCCTAGCACATGAGACCTTAATTTCTTTAACTGGGTGACGCTGAGTTTTGGATTTGCGGTCTGTTATTGAAGAAGACTACCAAACCATTTAAGAAACCTCTTATTCAACCAAAAGCTTAAGTTTGTGGTTGTCACCCAAAAAAAATTATTATATTCTTAATTATCGTCTTCTCCACTTTAATTTTTCCTCTCTTCTTTCTTAGCTCATGCATTTTTATCATACTACTCATTCCTCAAAACTTTCTTTATATTTGGTTGATTTTTCTTGAAGTATACGTACTGGGATTGAGCTTGGAATTACATATGATAGCTTAGCTTTTCCTTGGTGAGAGTATTGACGATTGGAGCTAGGACAAGAAGTTTTTTTCTTCTTTAGGGCTATTCTCTACTTCTCTGTTGCTTTTCATATTCCCGATCTCTAGGAAAAACCCAGATAAACAGAACTCTCTAATTAGTTGATCACACACTTTTTAATTTGGAAGAGAGATAATGTATTTTTTAGAGAGAAAGAGAGGGATAATGAGTGATGGCTGTTAGGCACACTCGTCAAGATTAGTCGGTAACGCCATGCTATCGGATTATCGACCATCATGAAAAGAGATCAGTGATGTGTTCGGTCGAAAAATGAATGGCTAGGTTTTTGAAAACCTTACCATGATACAATTTGATAATAATTTAGTCTTATTACCAATGAAGGATACATAACTATATATATGAATTACATGAGAGAATTCTAATCTAAGTGGAAGGGAAATATGAAGAGCTCAAAAGGATTGATAGTACTATTCATATCAACAAAAATGCATATCTTTTCGAGAACTCATCACCTAGAAACTCCAAAGTTAAGCGTGTTTGACTTGGAGCAATTTTAGGATGGGCGACTCCCTGTGAAATTTCTTCAGCACTCACGAGTGAGGAAAAAGTGTGCGAGAAAAACTTGTGTTTGTTTGTGGGGCCAATGTAGAATTCTATGAGCAGACACTTACGGCCAGGGTGAGGGTCGGGGTGTTATAGAAGATTTATAATAACAATAGGATAAAGAAGTAGGAGAATAAGCTAAGGAATGTAATTAATAATCTATATTATTTCCTATTAAATATACACTATTTTTATATAAATTTATCAACAATTCCTTTTATACTCCCGCCGTTCAAAAGTTATCTTCCCTTTGTGTGCTACGATGTTTGACTGAAATTATTTTTAAAATTTTATATGAAAAATGTTGTGAAATTAGAAAATAAAAATTACATATTAAAAATTATATCAAAAGATCTACAAAACTAGAGGTAATATGAATGTATTATTTTCTCAAATGGTACTAAAAATAAGCCAACAGCGTAAATAAAATTTGACCTTATAATTAATAAACGGAAAAATAATATTTGGACGGAAGAAGTAATTTGGTTTCAATTGACAAAGTTTGATGCACCAAACTCTATTTCGGGAATGTGGCTTAGTTTTTTGGTGGATGTAGCACTAATTCGTTATGGCAAAGTTGGTTTTAACCGTTCGAGATCGATAACCAAAACTATGTCAGATAGAGTAGTTTGATAATCAAAATTATTTATTTAGATTTATTGAAAAAATTAAAATAAAAATTTATCCCAAATTTTCTTTGATCCAAACAAAAATTTTAGATATTTAGAAGATTAGACTATATCAGAATGATCTGATTGAACAATCCAAAGGATTAGACGATCCAAGTTGGCTTAAGGCCTCGTTATAGCAGGGGAAATATTGTATCAACTATCAAACACATTCAATTCTAGTTGTCTATGTTTGGTAATATAATTGAAGAAATTATTTTTTAGGACAAGCATTTTGTTTAAAAGTGCAGAAAATGTTTTTTTATTTGTTTTGGATGATAATTCATTTCTATTTATTTATTGGTTCCCTTTATTTCGCGAATGAAATAAAAAATTCTCTCCAACCTCTACCCTTCGTTACCACCTCCGCCCAGGTTCCCGCCTCCCCACAGCGGTGCCCACCCACTTCCCCTAACTATCAACCAAACAACGTAAAATGTGGATAGAAAATTTCAAACGTAAAATGTTGGAAGAAAATAAATTTCAAACTATTTTTATAGAAAATAATTTTTTGAATTTGTTTGTTTTAAGAAAAAACAAACAAACTTTATGATATGTGTAATCCCCAAATTAGCCATCAGGGTTAATTAGTTATTGAGATGTTACTCTCTAATTGAAAATAATGTCCAATTTAATCATTCGACTAAATGTCGTCAAAATAGCACTACAACTTATACTAATTTGCTAAATTGATCATCTATAATTGGGTGTTTTTTCAAATTAATCTATTTTCAATGTAAACTCATTTAATATGAAAAACCGAAGCAAAATTCTTTCCATTAATTGATTTATGGTGTTTGGGCAAAATTGAAAGACTATTTTTTATGAGCTTTTATTTTGGAAATTAACTCATTTTGAAAAGAGAAATTTAGCTAAATAGGACTAAAATATAATGACTTTCCCAATATAGGACCATATGTTTTTATTTCCCTATGTAGAACTTTTGGTCATTATCAAGTAGTCATTATTCAATTAAATGTCTATCATTACTGGACATTATTCCTTCCACTAGGTCATTATTAAGTCCTATTTTAGGAATAAAAAAATTTAAGTCCTACATTAGAAAAGTCATTATGTTTTAGTCTTATTTAGTGCAAATTTCACTTTTGAAAAATGTTCAATTAGAATGATCATTTTGAAAAAAATAAATACTCGGGAGTATAAATTTCAAGTGAAGCAAATGGCAGCGCCATATAAAAATCATAATGGATCAAGTGAAGCCTAGCCCGGCGAATTCAATTCCCCTTACTCCTCTGTCTTTCCTGGAGAGAGCCGCCACCGTATATGGCGACGGCGCCTCCCTCGTCTACAAGTCCACCACCTTCACCTGGTCGGAAACTCATCTCCGCTGCCTCCGCCTCGCTTCCTCCATCGCCTCCCTTGGTATCCAGAGAGGGCACATCGTCTCCGTTCTCGCCCCCAATATTCCCGCCATGTACGAGCTCCATTTCTCCGCCCCCATGGTCGGGGCCGTCCTCAACGCCATCAACGTCCGTCTTGATTCCCGGACTGTCTCTGTTCTCCTGGCCCACTCCGAGTCAAAGCTCATGTTCGTTGACTCCCAGTTCAAAGCTCTCGTGGCCGATGCTCTGTCCCGGTTTCCGCCGGGTTTGCCGCGGCCCATTCTTGTTCTCATCGCCGACGATGAATATCCGGCGGAAATCGGCGGGGAGTTCGCGGGGACGTACGAAGGTTTGGTCGAGAACGGGAACCCGAATTATGATTGGGTTCGACCCGAGACCGAATACGACCCGATTGTACTGAATTATACCTCCGGCACCACCTCCGCTCCCAAGGGGGCGGTTCATTCCCACCGGGGAATCTTCATTACCACGATGGATTCCTTGGTAGAGTGGTCCGTCCCGAAAAAAGCGGTGTACCTGTGGACCCTACCGATGTTTCACTCAAACGGGTGGTGCTTCCCGTGGGGAACGGCCGCCGTGGGGGCCACCAATATCTGCCTCCGGAAAGTCGATGCCGCCGCCATCTACTCTGCCATCCACCAGCACAACGTGACCCACATGTGCGCGGCGCCGGTTGTGCTCAATATGTTGTCCCATCACGACGTCGGGAAGCCTCTGGCGCGCCCTGTCCATATCATGACCGGCGGTGCGCCCCCGCCGGCCGCGGTTCTTCTCCGGATGGAGTCTCTCGGGTTCGTCGTCACCCATGTCTACGGGTTGACCGAAACCGCCGGAGTATTCGTCTCCTGCTCGTGGAAGGAGAAGTGGGACGAGCTTTCGGCGATGGAGAGAGCGAGGCTGAAAGCTAGACAGGGTGTGAAGACTCTGGGCATGGTGGATGTCGACGTCGTTTGTTCGGAAACAGGGGCGCCGGTGAAACGAGACGGAGAAACCCTGGGCGAGATCGTTCTACGCGGCTGCAGCATCTTTCTTGGATACTTCAAAGACCCAAAAGGCACCGCGAAAAGCCTGAGAAACGGGTGGTTTTACACCGGCGACGTCGGGGTGATTCACCCCGACGGTTACCTGGAGATCAAAGACCGGTCAAAGGACGTGATCATCAGCGGCGGAGTGAACATCTGCAGCGTGGAAGTGGAATCGGTGCTGTACGCACACCCGGCAGTGAATGAGGCGGCTGTGGTGGCGCGGCCGGACGAATTTTGGGGCGAAACGCCGTGCGCTTTCGTGACCATGAATCTACATGTGAAGGAGAAGGTGAAAGAGGGAGAGATCACAGAGCATTGCAGAGCAAATTTGCCGCGCTATATGATTCCCAAGACGGTGGTGTTCATGGAGGAGCTGCCGAAGACGTCCACCGGAAAGATTCGGAAATTTGTTCTAAGGAATATGGCAAAGACGATGGGCCGGTCAAATCTTTAGCAAAAAATCTTACTCATAAAGCTACTACCTCCAACCAGTTATAAATTCGGGAGTATTTGTCCGAGTTTTTTAGATTAATTATTTTTTATTTTTGACCTATAATTAAATAAATTATATACTATATTTTAATTAAATAAAATAATATTTTGAAAATATTTGATATAATAAATCTAATAAAAAAAATCTATTAATATCTAATATCATTTTTATTTAATTTAAGGTCAAAATTTATCAATTCTGACCAAAAAAAGTCAAAAATATACAAGAACTCAGGAATGAAGGAAATACGTTATTCAACAAGCTAGGTGTAAACGAGGATTATATCATTTGTAAAGGAGGATTATATCATCTGTAAACCAATCTAATAGAGACACGGTGACACATAATGTGTGTCCATGCACAGAAATTATGTGTCTGAGTTACAAATTAGATATCTCATCCCTCTGGTTTTGAATAAGAACTCCAACACACCCTCGCAATTTCAAAAGTATGTTATACTTCCTTCGTCATAAATAAAGTTCTCATTGTGCATTATTATATTTGACTGAAGTTATTTTTAAATCATTTTATATGAAAAATGGTATGGAATTTAAAAATAAAAAATACATATTCAAAAAATACATTAAAAAATCTACAAAAATATAGATGACATAACTATATTATTTTATTAAATAATACACAAAAATAGACCAACAAAATAAATAAAGTTTGATCTTGCAAATAGTGTATAAGAAATTTATTATTGAATAGATAGAGTAATATTCTTCTGGTTTGTAAAGGGTGCACGCGCACCTCTCTAATGGGGAACGGGCTCTTGTTCGGTGTTCAAGTGCTGGGATGGGAATGGAATTTGTTTTTCTTTTTTTACAATTTAAGTAATATAGAGGGAGAAAAATGCCCTATCTTATGGAGAATGCTCATGGAGAAAGTATTGAACACATTAGGGGTGAGCATGGTACGGTATTTAGCTCGTACCGATACCGTACCAAATTTTTCGGTTCGATATGGGATTTTACTCCGTACCAATCCCGATCCCGAAATATCGGTTTGGTATGGTTCGGGATGGTTCGGTATCGGTTTCGGTACCAATCGGGATGATACATACCTACTTACACATTAAAATTTAACAACGACCCTTTATTTTTGAAAAATTAAAAGTGAATTTAAATTAAAAAACATGAAAAATTAAAAAAAATGAATATTTAAATGCAAGAGATGCGTATCAAAACTTTGTTTATATTTCACAAACTAAAAAAAATGAACGACAACAAAGGAGTATTTTGAATCTTTGTGAATACTTTTATGTTCATACACAAAAACTAAAATCAAATAAAAGTATAATTTACACATAATAGAACTTGAACCGATTTTTTTTAAAAAATTATTATTTAGTGAAGGAATATAAAAATATTACTCCGGTGCATTATTTTTTATACTCCGTAATATTTTAGTATATATGTTCGGTTCAGGATTTTTGGTATGGGACGTCACCTCGTACCGTTACCAAATACCGTACCGACCACTCGGTTTGGTACGGTTCGGTATTCTCGGTTTTTTCGGGAAATTTCGGTATCGGTTCGGTACTTGCTCACCCCCTAGAACACATAATACAAGATGAAATCACTCAAAAAGAAATCATAGCAAAAGTAAATTAAAAAATCATGACAAAAACACTATTCACACAACATTTATACTCGAAAAATTCCACGCCGAAAGGAATATGCACCAAACAATTCCATTTTATAGAGCTTGACAATTCAAACAACACTTTCACAATACGAACATCAACACTGAATTTCAAAAGGTAACAGAAATAAATAGAAGATGTTTTTCGAAAGACATCATTAAATGCATAATGCAATTTAGTAATCAACCAAGATTCTAACACTACCATCACCTCTGCCTATATGGTTTAGAGATAAGCTTCTCTACACTAGTAGACCTCTTGTAGCTTGCTGCAAGTTCATACTCCCTCCCTTTGGAAAAACCCTTCCCACTTGATTTGGGGGCAAAAATAAGGAAGTGTTAAATTATAGTTGATTTCCAATTTTGCCCCTGATGTGATGGGTAAAAGTAAGATGTGATGGATAGGTTATTAGAGAAAAAGTATGATGCGATAGGTAGGGTATGAAAAAGTAAGGGTAAAAGTGGTTTTTTAATAGAAAGGAGAAATGTTTTGTTGGAAGTGGAAAAAATGAAAGAGAAAGTATTTTTTAGAACAGAGGGAGTACATAATAAATACGATTAGCCTGATTTTAAAAATGCAGTAAAGACTTCATAAAAAAACATCAGTAAAGACATTGTCAATGAATGGAATTATTTCACCCGTGATTCCGTGAAGGCATGGTGCATTATTGAAGATGTTCTCACATGTAATTCTTTGGTTTTGTGCTTCAGTTTCTCTATCATTCTTACTTTGTATGTCCCTTTTTTTGGCCTAGCAGAACATTGTGTGTTTGGTTCCTTCATACAAGTCCATTTGTTATGGTCTTATTTACCACAATTTACACATGTAACAGTCAATCATTTCTTTGTTGACATCCTCACATCCTTTTCTTGTATATACTTTCCTCCATTTTTCTTCCAATCCTTCTTTTAACAACACAAGGTTGCAACGGTGTACACAGAGTGTTGACATAGTTATGCGAACCTAAAACAAGGTGAATAACAATCCCATATGCCTCTTTATATGTGGCAATGTAAAAGTGTTTGTCAATTTTGAGATCTTCATTATTATATATGAACATGTGGCACACGGCTAATGCATGTAATTAAACATGTGACACCAGTTAGTTGATATTTCCTATAAGTGTACTCCTTTATACTGAACTTGACCACATGAGTGACATCTTCCTTCATCACTTGGTGCTCTTCCAAACCAGATGACATTGCACTTTAATTCACCGTATTGTCCATCATCTTCCTCATTTTTTTCTCAATGTTAGGCATATCATACTTCAATTATATGCCTCAATTCTTGTTTTCTTTACATTGATCCTACACATCAGTTTGATCTTAATAGTCTCACTTGTGCTAATGATTGGAAGTCCTCTTGCTTCTAATAGGTAACTATTACAAGATTCAGTTGTGAGTACATCACACTTAACATGAATAGGAAACATACATCTGGACCAATGCATAGTTGGAACTCTAGACAACTACTCAAATGCAATTGTGTGTGTGTGTACATATACATACATACACACAAATATATATATACACACACTGACACACACACGTATCTAGTTTACATTTTGAAATGTACAAAACTTTTTATCTTAAAATAATCAAAATTACATTCAAATAAAGAAAGATAAACAATTGAATAATGAATAATTAAATGCAAAAATTCATATATACTTCATATATCACAAAAAAAATAGAACGAATTATAACAAAATAGGATTTTATTTTTTGTTAATTTTTTTATATTCATCTACAAAAAATTAAAATTCAAACAAATGATTATATAAATAAAATATTATTTGTAATTCATCTACACTTGAAACAACTTTTCAAAATCAATTTATTTTTAATGAAGAAATATAAAAACATTGTTTATAACATATTTGTATAGATCTTCGGCTCGAGATTTTTCATCTTGGGAGATTACCTCGTACCGATCCCAAATAACGGATCAATCATTTAGTTTGGTACGGTACGATTCTTTCTCAGTATTTTATCGATTCGGTATTTTTGGATTCAATAATCTTAATATTTCTGAGAAATTTCAAGACTAGTTTGGTACCTGTTCATCCCAAAGTGAAATGATTAAGCAAAATGGTGTACCCCATTTGTCCCCTACCCCCTTCTCCACCACATATTTTTATTTCATTTTTAATTATTTATTTATTTTTAAGTTTTTTTCCCATTTATGTGGTAGAGGAGGGGTGGGGGACAAATGGTGTACCCTTAGCATTTTTTGAAATGATTAAATTCCTTTAGCCTTTAAAAAAAGAAATAGGGCTTTTGGTTGTGCGGGTTAGAGCACTGGAACTAATCTTGAAGCCCCGGGGCTTCAAACTGGGGCTTCAAAATTTCTTTCTCTGCCACGTCAGCTTTAACTTACCTCACAGATTCACTGGAAAGGGGTTTGCAGCCCCGGAGCTTCAAACCTTCATTTTTTACATTTTTAAACATACATATTCTAAATTTAAATTAATAAATTTAAATTAATTTATTATTTAAATTAATCGCAATGAACTAGCTAGTGCATTAAAAAAATTACATTGATTAAAAAAATATTACATTCATAAAAAAAATACATGCATAAAAAATTACATTCATTAAAAAAATTACATTCATAAAAAATACATTCATAAAAAAATTACATTCATTAAAAAAATATTACATAAAAAAACAACACTACAAAGAAATTACTAATTATTCAAGCGACAAAAGATATGTTCGATCAAATCTACCGTTAGTGCATTGTGAATCTCTTGGCTTCGAATTTCTTGGCGGTTTCTTCGTTTCTTTTCTTCGTTGAGTTCTTCGTACATAGACACCTCCTCGTCCGGGTTGTATTAACAAATCGCAGTCTCGTTGTCCTCTATGATCATATGATGAAGAATAATACATGCGTACATGATATTCCTCATTTTCGTTTGAGAATAACATTTCGACGGTCAATCTAGAATGTGTCATTTACCCTTCAAGACCCCAAAGGCTCGTTCAATATCTTTTCTCACCGCCTCTTGAGCTCTTTTGTAGGTCTAGCATTTAAGACCGATTGGTTCGGAGAAGGATTTGACAATCATGGAATAATCTAGATATATTCCATCGGCCAAATAATATCCACGCTTGTAAAGCGTCCCTCTAAGCTCAAATGACGATTCAGGTGCGGTCTCATTAATCCAATCGTCAAAGATAGGGGATTGATCGAGAACGTTGATGTCGTTGTTCGAGCCCGCAACACCAAAATAACTGTGCCAAATCCACAAGTCATTTGAAGCAACAGCTTCGAGTATGATAGTAGGCTTGGAACGATCTCCCTGGAAGAATTGACTGTGCCACGCAGTGGGACAATTTTTCCATTCCCAATGCGTGCAATCAATACTCCCAAGCATGCCGATAAAGCCGTGTTTAGCGGCATGCCTTGCCTGTAACTGCTGAATGTCGCTCGTTGTAGGCTTGCATTAATATCTTTTATGATAAGTTTGAATAATAGCTTTAGAAAATTTATAAACACAGGACCTGATGCTCCGAGCCGACATCTTCAAGTATTCGTCGAACATATCACATGTCGTCCCGTACGCCAACTGACGGAGCGCGGCAGTGCACTTCTAGACACT